AACGAAACAATATTTGTGAGTCTCCGCCCATCCGGTTGCTGTGGAAATCCCTTCGCCTTTGTAAAGTCGCAACGCACTGGGGAACCAAACACCTACCTCATCAATTTGATATTATCGGAAAGGAGACGTCGTCGGACCTCTGCCAAACTATTCAGTTGTCGGTAATCCGAGGAGATCATCTTCTGTCGGTCAACAATAGCACGCTTGCCGTCCACAACATCGGCATGTGCTTTCGTTAGTGTAGTTGTTTGCGTGACAGTCACCTATGAAGCATAGCAGGACTTCATAAGCGGTAAGTAATGTCGCAGTAGAAATAAAAAAAACCCTTCTAGGACTGCGAGATGGACGGAGATAGGAAATGACGTTATGGTAATAAAGAAGGAGGGCGCTAATGACGTCGTCTCCTGCTCCACCCACCCGGAACTCCCATTGGGTGTCTCTGAATCGTTCCCAGAAGTAACATGGGAGATATGTTTGGTATGGTATGTTCAAAACTGAAGACAAGAGGAAGTCAAAACATGTGAAGAGTGGCAGAAAGCTCTTAAGTTTTGATACCAGACCGCCACCACATACCAAAATACACTGAAGGAAGTACACTCTAGTTCTCTGCGGACGGTTGGGCGTGTCAGCCAGTATGAGTGTGTCACCCTATCAGAGCCGTTCTCTGCCTTCTTGTTGAAGAGCGCATGCGACAAAAAGTGGTAGAAAACGAGTAATACGAAGGATATGATACAGTATTGTCACTTGCCCGCTTCAACAACTGGTGTAGAACGAGTTTGGCACCGCGCCAAACGCAGCCGCACTGACACGCCCAACCGTCCGCAGCGAACTACAGTATACCCAGTCAGCATTAACATACCGATTCTCCCGGCACTTTCCTACAGTAATTGGCCGGGACGAATCCTTCAGTGCCATCCTGCTTGAGCACGCGCCACCATTCCGGAGTCGATTGCTCCAATAAAGCAAGAACTTCACCTTTGCCCACAGACATACCGTTTCCTTCGTACTTGTAGAGCATTTCAATCTGAGGCACGGACACCTCTTCCGTCTAAAACTTACTTCTAACTACAAATGGGCTGGTTTTACTAAAAACGGTTGAAGATAAACCTCTTGAGTGCTTGTTGTTGCAGTGTGGAAAGAGCTGTTGGCGAGCTGCTGGCTCATTTCTTCGAGTCGAACAATATCGGCCCTGAAATTTTACGGATGAGGCCCGTTCACACTTCACGACTGGGACGATTCTCAAATCGCGCCACTGCGCGAGCCGCCGCCAAACTGCTGAAGTCAAACGCGAGATAGAACTTTTTCGGCAGTAGTCAAACAATCAGCATTAGGGCATGGTTGACAGCGATCGCTTTCCCAAATCGCGCGACTAAATCTCGAGAGTAGCGAAGTATAAACACAGCCTTGGAAACCTGGCGCAAGAAAATGCTCACAGCAAAATTAGTCCCTGACAGCTACCACTCCCTCATTACACTCGTCAACAAATAGCTGACCTGTATGCATGGATTTCTTCTTCTAGACGAGGCGTGCCGTTGCAGTAACGATTCCGCAGCTCCTTCGTCACGACCCAAATCATCACTTTTCACCAACGGCATTTTTTCACGGATCCAGGACTCTGCTTCGTTTGCGTCCTAAATAAGGAAGAATAGGAGAGAAAGATGCATACAATTCTGCCAGGTTATCGCAAAAGTCAAATATACCTGGAAGTACTGTTGGGCTTGTTTTGCCTCGTTTAACCACTGACCAAGAGCTTGATGGGCGGCTCGAAGACGTTCCCAACCCTGCTGCATCGCTTGAATACGCCGCTGGAACACGTGCTTTTTATCATTTGCATATTGATGCCCGGAAATGCTTACTCCTTCGACAATGCCTCAACAAACGCGAAGCCAGGTCGGCGACTGACAAATGAGACATCGAATAAAATAAATAAAAAAAGTCGAGTGAAACGTTAAGTGAAAAGTTGCCCTGAAACCCTCACCTGGATATCTTCCCGCGACTGCCCGTTTTCAATGAGGCGTTCGCCGGCGGCCATCATATCTTTTGTTCGTGCCCAGTGTGACTGCATCTCGGTCTCAGTGTTCTTAAAAAAAGGATAGCGGAATTTGCGGATCAACTGGAGGCAAAATGACAAAAAAATAAAGTTATCACCGTTGATCAACCCCTTTTC